TCATTCTTTGATGAGTTTCGATTTGACATCCATATTTTATATATAAAATAAAGAAATTATTGTTGTTACCAAAAATTGATCAACATGGGGGGTTCAGAGGAATTTATTGTGTATTTTCGGATATATATTTTTCAGTGATTTTTTGAGGATTTTTCCTGTACATTATTTCTTCTGTATTGTTGAAAAGATCAAAGAAAGATTAGAAGAAAGAAATTGAGAGCAATCGTGAGGCGGTGCCTTAGTAGTCGTGAAGAGAAAATAATAATATTGCCCCTCAGACTTATCTATCCAGGTCCATCATTGGGGTATTTATATATACGTTTAATGGGCCCGATAATATCACAAGCAATTTTATTTAAGGCCCAAAAAATATCCCAATAATAAAATAATTAATATAAAACATATCCACGTGTAATATTTTAATAAGCTAGGCCAAAATTAGGTACTAACAATTATATTTATCTTTATAATAATAAAATTATTTATTAAAAATAATTAGAAAATAAAATTATTTATCAATTAATATATTTATGTTTAATGTAGTTATATGTTATAAGGTTGAAAATTTATTATAATATAACACATATAAGTCGCACAAGTAACACGTGTCATACTAAAATATATAATAATAGATACTCTCTTCTATTTTTATTATTTGTCAGTTAGGCTTAATTGATCATTGATAAAATAAATGTCGTTTTAGATATTTTGTTCATAAATTTTCTATTTTTAACCCTCCATCTAATCCACAGTGTCTCTTCATATCCCATCTCCAACGTTTCCCATAACATCCATTAAATAGAGTTAATATTGTCAAGAAAAAAAATCTTAATTAGTGTGTTGCATTTGAATTGATATTATGAAGTCTATTTGTATTTTACTATATATATATATATATATATATACATATGATACAAAACAGTAATACATATCCTTATAAATAAAATTTAAAATTATTTATCAAACTAAATTAAATTATATCAATTATAAAACTATAAATTATATTATAAAGTAATAGAAATTGGTATGTATTCTTTTAAAAATGATATTTATTTCAAATCTAATTGGTATGTTGTCAATGTAATAAAAATAAATAATTATTTATATAAATTCTATAATTACATATAAAGTTAAAAAACTGTGAAACACGTACGTTTGATACGACACTTGATGTATTAGGCATCTAATTAAGTAAAAAAATTAATCTATTTTGGTTAATATTAAATAAACATATTCTACACTTATGCATATACATATAACCATATTATTTCTATTTATTGAAGTCATATATTATTGCACTTATGTAATAGTAAATAATATCGATACTTTTATATTATATAAGTAAAAAAATTCAACACGGGTTGACATTTTCATTTAATATATGAGTGTTTAATTATTATGATTAAAAAAATATAGTTTGACAATTTAATTAAAACCCAAAGTAATGTTTTATATAAAATTAAATTATTTTAGTTCTTAAAAAAAATAAAAAATTTAATATTTTTTACAAAAATTTTCTAATTCAACACCCGTGTAATACACGGGAATTGTACTAGTCTATCTTTATTAGAAAATAGTTACATGATCAAGTACTACAAAAGACGTTTCTTATTAGAAAAAAACAAAAGGGATAAAATGGAATAATTTTCTTGGCTATTGGTCAAAATTGTTATTAACAACAAATTTTTTTCTTCATTTTTTAACATGGTTCGCATTTTTTATTTTGCGCAGCTAGCGTAGCCTCTAATAAGGACCATTGTAGGGGCAGTGCTGTCAGCCTCTAAGGGCCATTGTAGCAATAGTGTAGTTAGCCTCTAGAGGTCGTTGATTTACACGTGTGACAATTCATAGAGATTGATTGTGGTGCGCTAGCCCTCGCATCGAATTTTTTGTAAGAAAAACTTAATAATAAATATTTTTGCGCATTAAAATAGAAAAGTATCATCATCGCCTTTTTTATACACAAAGGATGTTATTAGGTTGTCTAATTATTAGATGCTGTTTTTTTTTTTCAAATGCAAATTTATATTATAAAATAAAATGTCATACTTTGTTTTATATTGTAACCAAAGTATGATATTTCAGTGTAAAATTATGTACTTATATTGAAAATGTATGGCTGCTTAACCATTAGGCAGCCTAACAGTAAAATCTAATATTTTCTATTACTTGTTTCATATAAAATCACGAGCTTTACGTTTTTAGTTAGTTGAGATGAGAATCAATCAAATTATTTTTGGGGCTATTTGTATTTAGCTATGAGGTAATTGTAATGATCAAAATTCATGTGATATAAAAGTAGTGAGAATAATGATTGTAAGTGATTGGTAATAATTAAAAATATGTGAATAGTTTAATAGTGAATATTTTGTTAAAAAATGTGTAATAAATATTTACATTTATTATTAATGTATTGATAATATTGAGGAGAGTTAGTTGGATTAGATGAATAGTATATTTTGAGTTAAAAAATTGTATTCCAATCGTAGTTTTGTCCAAAAAATTTATCCGGCAAGACAAAATCCGAATATTTCATTTCAAATCGCATATGTTATTTTTGCGCATCAAAGTAGAGAGGTATATAAAAGAAATGAGTTATTTTGTTTTTAATCAGTTTAGACCGATCACATTATTTTGTTTTTAATCGCCACACGTAAAATAAAACTCAGCCAAACTCTCATACTTTTTATAAATATAATTAAAAAATAATAATCAAACATCCCACACATCATATTAACTTTAACTAGTATTCGACTCTGTGCATTTGCACAAATATAAATAAAATTAAATATTATAAGTTATATATATGTATATAATATAAAAATTATAAGTTATATAATTGTATTATATTTCAAACATATAGTATTATAAGTTATATTTATGTATATAATATTAAAAATATAAATTATATAATAGTATTGTATTTTAAAATTTGATCATTAGTTAAAATAAATAGTACACACAATTTGATTGTATACGAATCACTATATTGATTGCGTAAAATGTAACAAATATATACTTTTTATAATTTTGAGTGATCATGACCAATTAATTAGCTGAAAAATATTACATTTATTATAACAATTGCTTATGTGATTTTAAGAAATTTTACTATGACATAAAAAAATTAATTTATTAATAAACAGCCGCTTCATCATATAAAAAAATATTGATTTTAGTGTAAAATATAATTTTATGTAACTTTCATATATTATTTTATATAAAATATAATTACTAATTCTAATATTAACTATTATATTATTCAATAAAAAATATAATTATTAATCAATTAACATAAAATATAATGGTTTTTGTCTTAATTAATCCAAAAAAATGTAATAAAATATTTTCTTATTAATGAGATTGGGTGTATTAATGTCACATAAATAAAATTTATTAGGTTCTATTTATTAGGTTTTATTAATGATTTGCCACATAGGTAAAATTTATTAGGTTTTATTTATTAGGTAAAATTTATTGCTTAGCTAGCAATTATATATATATATATATATAGATTCACTGAGCATTCACTCACATAATTTTAATTGCATACCACTTTCAATAATCTTTCTCATACTTTTACATCAATCAACTTTAATCACTACATTTCAAATATTATTTAATTACAAACTCAAAATCATCCGCTCATTCAACTTTATTCAAATAACTCACTTTATAACCAACCAAATTGGATCATAACCGGTTGGATTCATATTCAATCACGCCCCAAATATCCAATCACTCTTAACCAATCATTTCTTTAACTCAAAATCTAACTCAAATTTAATTCAACTCATCTCCTCAATATTATCAACGGTTTTGCTATGAAACCAACAGTTATGGAGCCAACTGTTGGCTTCATAGCAAAACCGATATTATCAATATACTTAAATAATAACAATCAATCATCTTCACATATCACATTAACTTTAATTCATTATTCATTCACTCACATAAATTTGTGATCAAACTTTTGGGCTCTGAGTAGGGGCAATTTCATCCGCATTATCAGCTAAATTAGCCCTATCGGCCGTAGCTTTAAAAAGGGGAAGAACCACCTTGGATTTCTTCTTGCTCAGTGCATTTTTATGTATGAAAAAATATTTCCAATATTTTTATTGTAAAATTACTCTAAATTTGTCCTTAATTAATAATTGTCCATTTTGTGCAAGTAAAACTAGGAGGATGCCCCAAAACTTCTGCCCATCCGCCCACCACTGCTCGCAAATTGCGCTGTTCCATTATTTAGACATTCCAAATCATGATCATTCCAAAAACTGAAAAATAAAGAAGGGAAAAAATAGCAAAAAAAAAAGAAAAAAGAAAAAAAGGTTTGTTTCGAAAGATAACAGATAAGAATAAAACCCCCCCAAAAAAAAAAATGTCGGTATCACGATTAGTGGGACCCATTCTCCTCCTATTAGCGGCTCTGGCCATCACAGCCACGGTGGCTCAGCCAACAGAGCACGCAATCTACTTCGGGATGGGCTCGGACGATGGTCACGGCCTAATGGCCGACACCATGGACCAGCTGAGCCAAGAGCTCATGATGGAATCTGTATCTGCTCGGCGCCACCTGGCAGGCGGGCAAGGAGGGCACATTAGCTATGCGGCCTTGGGTAGGAACAATGTGCCGTGCAATCGTCGTGGCCAGTCGTATTACAATTGCAATAGCCACCAGAAAGCTAATCCGTATACTCGAGGCTGCACGAGGGCCACCCAATGTGCTAGAACCAACCATTAAAGGAAAAATATTGATTCATTTGAGATCCTTGATTTAATGTAAATATTTTAGCAATTATTATGGTTCTGTAGTTATCATTCATCTCGAAAAGAAAGAAGAAAAACAATTAGTATTATTAGTGATCATTGCGTGCCACAGGCATTCCTGTTGGGCATTTTTAGGAAGTAGTTTGGATTACTATAACGAATTTTTTGATAGCATGTACACATGTATATAGAATTTGCTAATTTATTTCTCTTTCTTCCTTTTTTTTTCCCCCCCCCTTATTGTGTGTAATTCTTGTTATTTCTGTCACTTTTTTTATGTACTGTGAGCCGCGAACATAATAGGGCAGCAACAAATATTATATGGCATCAATGTGTTGAAAGTTTTTGAGCACAACAGAAGAATACAAGTAAACTCTCAAACAAAAACTGGGCATATGGTAGAAAATTGGCTGACTACTAGAAGAATTTAAAAAGTGCTTAAAGGTGATTATGCAAAGGAAATTATACACGGTTTTGTTGAGAATGTCCAATTAGAACGGCCACCATCGCCAGCCGCGCTCATTTTTCTGCAGTAGATAATTAAGAAAAAGAAGGGTAAAGCATTTTCCCATAGGGCATAAACAAATTCAGATGCATTATTGCTAAAAGCAAGAAATATCATACCCTACTCAACTTATAGCTTGAATACATTATGAGAAGTAAAAACAGATAATTGCGATTAATAAAAAGCGAGAAGAACCTTATGGTCGTGATTATTCCAGGATGGTGTTGGCGATACAATAGGCTGAGGGAGGACATTGTTGATGTTTTGCAAGTAGGGTTCCACTGTCTCTTTCAGCATCTCATTTAACTGAGAAATCAAGTGACGCATCAAAATATTATCATATCCTTGAAATAAGATTTACAATAAAAGAGGCAAACGGTTGCAATAGAAGAGGCAAACTGAGCACAAGTTACAAAAATCACCGACAGTAGAGAAGAAATGTTATTATGAAGATTTGGAGTGATATAGGCAATGTCTTGAAACTTAGAAAAGAAATTAATTCCCTGTTTCTAGGTGGAAATAAAATTATTTTGCTAAGAGATCACCGACACTCATAGAACATTAATTTCTTTTAAATAAACATATGTTGATATCATAGGAAATCCAAAAAACCATAAAGATCAAGAAAACAGGAATAATGTTTGGAATGAATAATATGCAGACAAATCATTATTTCGACAATATGAATTATAATGTATATTCTCAAGAAATATCCATATGTTGAAAATACTCAGAAAGCCCTTGCGAAAAAACTGACCTTCTCTTCGCGCCATTTTGTTTCCCACTGTGCGTCCAAAATTTTGTCAGCAATTTCTCTTTGCGCATTAAGAAGAATTGTCATCTCATGAAGCTTCTTTGGATCTTTAAGGTCTTCCTTGTTCCAAGAAGCTTCATCAATTGGAAGATCCAAGTCCTGTAAAATGCTTAGGTTACAGTGACTCGGAAATAAAAATAAGAATCCTACATATCAAGAGAAAAAATAATGGCAGTAGTTGATAATTTCTTTTACACAAAAAAGCTATGTGAAATCATTACGTGTGTTCAATGATTTAATATTCAAAGAGTTCAACGTGACCCAATATAAGCAATTGCAATAACAGGTGTTAAAAATTTGCATGCAGGCGCATCTACTAATTCTATACATCATGATACCATATGCAACTGGACATTTTTTAGCGATCATATTAAAAAGGAAAAGAAAAACACACACGCAGAGTGATGTGCTTCATCAATCATCATACTCCCAAAAACAGCAAGGAATAAAAGCTTCCATGACAAAACAATTGCACAATCGAAAAGAATTAATTCTGATTCTCAGTACAAGTCCACGAATTAATAAATGGACCTACATGCTGAAAATAAATTCCAGGAAAGAAACCATACCCCCCAATTTTGAGGCCTTGGAGGAGGATTAAGCTTCATTACTTCAGCCTCCAAAGTTTTCTTGGCCCTGTAAAACGGAATGTTTTTCACAATGACGGGATCATCCCGGGCACGGTCAGGGTCAATGGAGATTAAAGCCTGTCAATTTTAAAAAGTTGCTGTTGAAAATTGATGTCAATATATAACGAATAAAGAAAAGGACTTGGAATTGCCACACCATACATCTGTTTGAGGATTGGGGAGCTCAAGGACAAAACTGTTCTTCACTTTTCTTTAACATTTCTCTTATGATTTTTAAGAATTCAGATGAAATGCAAGTAATATAGAAAATAAAAGACTAGCATCTCCATGTTCATACTTCTCTGAACTCAATAGTCTCAAGGAAAGTAGCATCAAATGATCAAGTGAACTATGTCCTCTAGAACTGAAGAGCCCAATTACCGGATTTCATGACAGTCTAAATTAAAGTTGTCAAAGTAAATAGAAAGGTGATACAATATAAGAAGTTGGTAAATTATGTTCCATTTAAAATTGGCCAACAAGAAAGAAAAAGGAAGAGCTATGTTCATGCAAATGGGAATGGGGAGAAACTGTAATTATAAAGTGTTCTGCAATAGGCGAGAGTTATTTCCCACAGAAACATATGTTCAGTAAAAGAGCTGCAAATTTCAGAACTGTAAGTGTCACAGAACATTACTGAGAGAATGTCTTCCTGACAAGAGAATTCAGGTTTGTCAAGTCAAATTTTAATTTTTGGGACTTCAGTTTGCAAGAATGTTTCAAGTGGACGGAAAAAGAAATAGCACAATAGTAGTCTGCCTGTAGAAAATCCATCCAACCTGTTGCAGATACTCCCACCCAGGCTTCCGCTGGGCAACTTCATCGCGTAGATGGTCATACCGCATATTTTCCTAATCAAAGAAAATATAAAATCACAATATCACATAAGAAGATGGATTTAGGATTACACACTAAGAGAGGGAGAAGTTAATGGTTTATATAAAAAGGGCTCCCAAATGCCGAAAGCAGTCATATAATAAGATTTCTTGAAAATATTCCAAAACAACATTACTAAAGCTAAATATAAAAGATGTCAACGGTTTATGGTTTACTTCAAGAAAAAAGCAATACTATCTTATTATCATGGAGAAGGAAGCATAGTAAGTTGCGCCTATATGAATCATGCTAAAAAAGATATACATAGGATAAGACAACAATATCTGCTAAATTTCCCCACAGGGCCATAGTGTTCCTAAATAAGGTCAAGACTTGGTTCCCTGGAGAAGAAAGAGATATCTACCACTAAATGCTGCTTAAATTATATTCCCACACTATAAGGATTAAAAGATGAACTAAGGAAGAACGGCAAACATATTGTGTTTCTCGTGGAATCTAATTTCCACGCCATTTTATATTTACAGTAGGTCATGCACAGAATAACGTAATCTTACATGGATACACTTATGACTTACTGCTACTTTATTTGCAGCCAAACACAGAACTTAAGTTTCTAATTAAAGGATTGTCAACTGAACACTTTATTTGATAAAAGCAAGAATGAAATGCAAGAGTAGGTAAAAAAATAGTTTATATGATTTTGTAAGGAGATTGGACCTTGTATTGCCACCAAATTTTCTGCTTCACTTCATCATCGTAATCAACACCTCCCACTATCTGGGGGAAGGTTATCAACCAAAATGCAGCAATGCTTGGGTCCTTCATGCTGTGAACTACATGCTGCAAACAGAAACAAAATTAGCAATCTTGGTGGTAATACATGGAACCCATAGAAATTAATACCATAAGTAGGACGAATATGATCATTGATTTGAATGAGAGAGAGAGAGAGAAAGAGAGAGTTGATGCATAACTATATATAAAAGAAAATCAGTTAAGGCCACAGTTATTCTTTTTTTTTTTTAAATGGATTGAACCATCTGCTTCAAAACTCCCCCAGAACAAAAGAGCATGCTCCCCAGACATTTCAATATCAACTGAAGAGTATCGCCATAAGAATATACTGAAGATGTATAGACTGAATAGCTACGTTCAAGAACAAGCATAAATGGCAGCTCTCAACTTTCTTTAAGACCGAGCAAGGACTAAGGAACCAATCAGTATACCAACAAACCTTAATACTGGAACAATTTAAGGCAATTTGCAAGCAAACCAACATGCTAAAAGAAATTCTAGATTCTAAACCATACTTCAGCAGCAACCTTATCTAATGTAACAACGAACATATTACATACTTAACAATCATATCCTCATTTTCCTATCCACTTACATTTGAAAGGACCCACCTTTCACTAATAAACATAATATGGTGCAGAGACACAAATAAGTATAACGGCGATCAGCTCCAGTAGCATTAGAGGCACTTCAACACAAAGAAAATGATCAAGGGGTAGAATGTAAGTTTTGGAAACAGAGAAACACAGTTCACTTGAATTTTTCATTTGGATTACAAATTATCAGCAATTTCTATTATGCTTCATTTCAAATACATGTCATATAGAGACTATTTCCATCTTCTTCTACATTTAATGATTCTACTGACCAGAAGCTGCAAGAACTAAGCAAATTCATGCTCATATTTATCCACCAAAAAAGGCAAAAGAAAACTAGCTAGAACTAACCTCGTAAGGATAGTCCATTTGACGCATGATGTTAAGAGCTTTCCAAGGAGGCTCCATTATCTGATCAAATGGCATAACAGATATATAAGCATATGCATAATGCATTAAACATAATACATTAGCAATATGAGCTTATGACTTTTCCTGTAAACACAAGCATGTTTATATTATATCTCAGCTATACCAAATAAAATTCAATACAATTCTTTTCACTTATAGGAGTCCAACATTCTCCAAGAAATAAGATCTATGAAAAATCACAAACTTCAGAAAACAGTTACTCAATGAGAATATAAAAGCACAATCGCTTACATCATCTGCAGATATCCTAAAAGGAAACTTTCCTTTGCATTCAGGACATCTCATCACCCCCTGCAAAGCCAGGTAAATGACTCAGGAGGGATCAAAGCTGACAGATGATTGCCATTTTACACATTTGGAATCCAATAGCTACGAGAACTGTTGCATCATTTTGGGTCAACTTTTTCGGCCACAAAAGAAAATAAAAAATCTTACTTTATTCCAAATACAAAAAATCAAACAAGAACCTAAATTAGGGGGAAAAAATCTTATATAAAAATCAAATATAAAAACTATTATCCCAGTGCATCACTGCTCCGACAATACAGTAAAGCTTGTTTTTCAGATTACAAAGAGTTGTCAACTCCAACACTACAGTGAAAGAATTCTAGGATAATATTCAGCCCTATGTACATATTTTTATTATATGTATAGTGTGTGAGTGTGAGCGTGTGTGTGTCTGTCGGTGTGTGATTTTAGTTCTTACTGATCCATCACAGTCTGGGCATTGTTTAGATGGCAAAGGTACATGAAGGTCAAGACTTGAAGGAAGGTGGACTATCTCAGCTCGGTTTTCAGCAATTGCATCAGCAATGTTTGAAGTGGTTGCCTTCTCTCCACTAAACAAGTGTAGACAGAATGCCAGTTATAAACATACATGTTAATTAATACATAATTAAATAGCAACAATAGATGATGAAACATTGAGAGAGCCACTATTACCGAAATTTTCCAATTGTTATTTGATTCCCAACAATTGATTTACATATTTACTGAGATGTATTTGTATCAGTTGGAATGGGAAATGTCATCATATACCACTATATGAGAGGCCCAGGGTACAGGAGAGAAAAGTGAGCGTGCGTTCAAAGAGTAAATGCATCAAAGAACTTACATTTAAATATATGACCTTCAGACAATCAAGGTTCTATTAACTACAAAAAGAATCTAACAATGCATTATAGTTGTCAGTATCCCTACCTTCTCAAAGCATAATTTTTCACCTGGTACTGCACCTGTCCTGAGCCTCTGCACATTGTGCATTGCATGGCCTGCCATCCACTGCATGTCCGACAATCCCTGCACCTCAAACATTGAGTAATTAGTTTCATCTCTATGCTGAATAGAGATAGTTAATAAATATTGAATAATAATGATTAGACATCATTTCATTTTCTTTCAAAAACTTGAACAATAAAACTCTGGTCAATTACATGTAGTTCAAAAGGATTTACTAATTTGTCAAAGGGTTTATTATCACAGACATCGAAGTATCAGCCATTCAGGAAGAAAGCAGACATGTTTTTTTCCAAAACTGGAGGAACTACATTAGACCTGTTTGATTTAAAAAACCAGGCCGAACTCACTAACACACCTTAGGTGGTGGTGCAAGGTTCCTATTACAGAGGAGATTAGGTGTTCAAATGATCAAATCCTTCCCCCTCCCCTAATTTTCAGTTTGTAAGACTTGAATTATAATTAAAAATATAATATAAGAAAGGCCAGGGAGAACTCAAGCCAAGTTAAGAACAGAAGATTTCCACAAACATTAAAAGAAACAGCGTACAGGTTGGGGATCCTGCCTTAATCCCCCATCCTTCGGGGTGTTTCTTTTAAAAAAAAAAAAACATTAAAAGAAACAGACAAGCATCTAGATTCATTAAAAGCTAGGGCAGGGCTATGTGCAATCTATTGGGCTCACCACCACTTGGACACTAAGTATCTCCACATCTCATCACAAATAGTGATTCCATATAAGATAGTACAACACTAGTGAATAAAGGTAACAATATAACTACATAAATCTATATTTATATATATATATATATAAATATTGTCAATCAACTGCCCTCTTATTCAATAACATTAAGATACCGCCATATTGTATAATTATCAGTGCATGATATGAAGACCCAAAACTGAAAGTTTTAGAAGTTATACAAGGAAGTAAAATCACCTCTGGCACAAAACCTTCTTCCCCAGGTCCAACGCAATATTATAAGTACCAAACGTAGCAATGGCCTGAAATCAACTCATGAGTTAATGAATAAAATGGGAAGTATCCAACGCAAGCATCAACAGAGATTTTTCAGTCTCTTCTTTTTTATTGGGAGAATGAAAATGCAGAACTTTTCAATTAAAAGTGTAGCATGTAACAAGCTTTATCTTTTATAACAACAAGCCCTAAATAACATATCAACGCTAAGCACTTTCCCTCCACAGACAACATATAAAAATAACCTAAGCACTTTCAGTCCGCATGCTGTGAGTTGGACTTTGAGGGCTACCTAAGACACATTGCCTAAATGTGTTCAGTGCCAAAAATCAATCATGGTAAGGCACTCAGCAAAGGTCCTACACTTGCAGTGAAACCCACAGAATTTGAAACAAGCTAAGTGTTAAAAGGAAAATGCTTTTGCTGGGTTCAGCAGCAAAGTCATATCCTGGCATCTCCCCTTTTCAACCAGCTACTCTAACTACACTTACCCCATGTAATACCCTAGCATCGAACAGCCAACCAAGCTATTATGTACGTAAAACTAACTCGCACTTCCAAACTTTCGTTGTTTTCAACAATAACGAAAAAGAAAAGAAAAAGGAAATTCCAATCCCCAAATCTCAAAAATTCAGATAAAAAAACTGTGAGGAAGCTAGAATTACCACACACAACGCACACACACACACAGAGGATGACACGGATAGCATACAAAAACGGCAGAGAGAGATATTTTGGACATGAATTCCGGGATGCCAAAACCGCGAGGGGCGGAGCCAGCGATGTCGATGGAAAGCTTGACCGGAGCAAGCACCACCTTCATCGGGAATTCGAGAATATCCTTAATCAGCTGGTCTCCATGGCGCTCCATGAACAATTTAAAGCCATTCACCGGAATACGTCTATTTCGAGGCATTTTTTGGCCAATGAAATTGCAAGATCGAAGCGAATTTGAGCACTCCGTCTGTGGAAGAGTGGCAGTAGAAGAAGTAGAAGAAAAGACGCAGTGAGGATAATGAGTGCCTTCTGGTGATAGATATTTGACCGATGCACCTTCTTAAAAGAACCATTTCAAAAATTGCACCCCAACTTGCAACTATTTGCAGATTTGATCCACTAACCCCTACAATTAGACATGGCCAAAACTCGGGCCGTCCCGGCCCGGCGGGCCACCAGGTTGGGTTTCATGGACCCTGAACCGCACGGACCTATACTTGTGCCGGGTCCATGTCGGGTCAAGGCCGGGTCGTTATTTTTAAATAAAAAAATATAAAATAATATATAAAAAGTTAAAAAATAAAAAGAAACGGGTCATCGGCTTGGGCCAGGGTCATGAAATAATGATCCTGAAATGGCCTGTCGAAAATCCAGTCCGAGCTCGGACCCATGATCAACGAGTTTGATCGGGCCGCACGGGCCGTGGCCACGTCTACCTACAATCCCTCTGGAAATTCGGTTGATATGGCAAAGTCATAATAAATAAATCAATTAATATTAAATTCTTGTATGTGATGATATGAGATATTATATCAGGTCGTAAATGACCTAACGAGCAATCCGATCGAACTAGGTGAACCGACAAGTAGGTTAGACAACAAGACCAGAGGTCGACAAAGTATCAAGTCGATGATAACCTCACAGATTAGATAACTCACCAACAAGTTGAGCTAAGGCTCTCGGTTAGCTTAATGGAAACTCGATGTTGAGGTCTGCAGGTCGGCGTACAACCTAAGAGATAGACTTATCCGTTGAAGTTTGGAGCAACTTGGTTCAAGGGAATCCGAGCTGGTAGAACAATTACACCACCTAATGAGGTAGATCACTGTGAACACATCACATATTAGATAGGGAAAATAATTAAGATAATAAGAACACATGGATATGACCACGTGGCCTAACAAAATGAGCAGTCCTGGCACCCGGGCAGTACGAACAAGTAGCTCGGGCACAAGGGCAGCCCACTCGGGCAATCTTGGGCAAAAATGTAACACCTCTATATAAAGATGTAAGGTATGATCATTTACACTCTAAACACTCTTAGATACACAAAACTATATACAGTTCATATTGTTCATCATCTTCTCCATCACTATTTACTGACTTGAGCGTTGGAGCTTTTACGTCGGGACACCCCCTGCCCGTAGTTGTTTTGCAGGTCTTTCTACCGGTCAGGAGCACATCCAAAGTCATTCAACCTAGTCGAGGTCGTTTACACTACAGCGTCGTCTGTGAGACTTTCGTTCATAAACCTTCAAGCACCACTGTTAATGGCGAACGAAATCTCAGGAAAAATCTGGAACCCCGCATCGACCAGGTGTAAGTCTTTATTCGTTCAATTGGAACAGGCCCACCACCGGGCTTTTCGAGGTTGATTTTGACGTTGATAACCCTATTCCCAACCCATCAGGTCTCGGAGGTTCTTTGGCGTCCCCAACAATAGTTGGAGGCCCAATTGTCCAATCACAAGGCAGATCGGGCACAGAGATCGTCCCAGTAGCCCCGGTTTAGCCAGATCCACTCCAGGTCGATAGGATGGGACCACCAGCAATCGGAGCTGCACCACCAAACCAGCAGGTCATCACGTTCATAAGAGAGAAGATCAGTAAGATGATTGCGGAGATCGTCGCCGCTAGGCGTGTTCAGTCGCATTTGTCGAGCGCGATAAACCCTACTGCAACGACAAAAATGGAGGGCGTCGAGATTTCCAACAGCTCGGCCTTTGGAGCTCAGCGGGACATGTGTGTGGAGAGGATTGCAGACAAAAGTGGAGGAGAAGCGAGTTGTGAGAATCTAGACATTACAGAAACATCACTTATTACATAAACACTTGCCAGTTGCCATACCAAACAGAATACAATCTATACCTAAATAAAGAGAGATAGAGAATGTAGATCTTTCATTTTTATTTCATGCATAGAATATCAAGATGTCATTTTCAGAACTTCTTGCCAAAATAAAATCTTACGCATTTCATAAAACTAATTATAAATTGATAATTCATACACATATAATATTGAATTTTACGTTTATTAAACATAAAAATATCATTAGTTTCTTAGTTCATAATATATTTATTTGCATTGTTTGATTTATTTATTTTTATAACAAAATTATATAAAAAAATACTCCAAATATTGGCATGATAAATTTGAAAGGAATTAAACAAATAACTCAAGGATAAACGATGTGCAACTTGTTAATATATATCTCCGGTTCCCCTTATATATAATTTGAGAATGCCAAGAGTAACAGACTCACATATTTATTTGTATGTTTATTAGACGAAAATTCATGCTTTCATACTGCCACATACACAGTTGGATATTACTAATTAGACTTGTATGGTTAGCATAAAATATTTTATATTCCTTTTGTTACATTATCATATATTACATTTAGTTTTCTTATTCAATTCCTATATCAGTTACTAAAAATGTGTTCCTATTTTCTAAAATCTCATNCATAAAATAGTTACTTTAATTTTAAAATATATAAATTAAGTATGGACATTAAAAAAAATCTAAAAAATATGTCTCAACTCAAATATGATTATAAAGAGGCATTCGTTATTAGATGTTGCAAACGAAAAATATAAATGAAAATTACATTTAAAAATAATAAAAATAATCACTATATTTCATGAAATTTAAAAAGTTTACAATAATTCACATTAATTTATGTTTTAAATTATTGAATATTATAAAGTTGAAGATACTTGAAACAATAATAGATGAGGTATATTAATATAAAATAAAATTATAATATAATCAAACTTGAAAAAAGTAAAAAAAAAAATTAAATTCAAATCAAATTTATAGAGTTGTTATAATATGTATTCAATATATCTATAATATAGTATATATTTTTTGAATATATTATATATATAGTGTTTATTCAATATATATATACACATAAATGTTACTAACCCAATTATCATTTTGATAAATCGAGTATAAAACACATGTATTATTAATCAACTCTGTTAATTATTTAGTTAATGGTTGTATATTTATTATTATTATTATTTTTTATCATTTGAACATTTTACTTCTTTCGTTCACTACAAGTATTTTTATCATACACTCCGTGTAGTGCAGCAGTATCTTCCTACTTCTATACAAATTCCACTGGAGCAAGAATAAAAGTGGGTTGCGGACAATAGAAATAGCTTGCGAAGTAGAGTGTTATTCGAACCGAAACGGGCTGAGTAGTCATGTTCTAGCTTGTTTACCAAATGGCACATCTCGGCTCCGCACGAGTTCAAATCGTGAAAGCCTAACTCGACTCATTTAATAAAGTTAAAACCTTGAAAGAGCGCAAACATAAAATTGCCGTTCGAACAACTTCAATTCGCATATATATCATTTAAACCCATAAAAAAAAAAGAATGAGTTGTTTGTGAACAAGCTCGAGTCGTGATAAACGAGTTATATTAATTGTTCGAGCTCGGCTTATTTGAGTTAATTAACAAGCCGAGCTCCAAATTTAACAACTCGATCCGAATAACTAAACCATATTTGCAAATAACACAAACGAGGTTGTACTGCAATGGAACAAAAAATGCATTTGTGAACAATAAAAATGCAAAGATGCTTTAGTTATAGATGAGAGAAAACAGAGAAATTCCATTCTGGTTTGGGATTGGAGCATAATTCTTCTCCTTTTGGCCGGTTAAAAGATGCTCAATTTCTGTGCCAACAAGAAAAATAAAAATATATTGTACAAATGGTGGAAAAGTACCAAATCCTTCTAATTTACCAATTAGTTTTTTCTCCGAAAAATACCCCTCACGACGACCCCGAAATTCGCGGCGAGGTCACCGGAAATAGCGGCAGCAGCTTCGGCTCGGCTCCCCCCGCCGCTATTGCCCTCGGCGACGGATGGAAGTAGAATTTCTTCTCGGCGATCGCCCTGTCCTCGGGAGACGGCGCATCCTCGCTCGCCGGACTCAGGGCCAGCCCCGGAAAATCGAGCATGCTCGGCGACAGGAGCTCGGGCTTGCGCGGCGAGGGAATCGGGCCGCGGTGGGGGCCCGTCCCGAGTGTGTCGATCATGAGGCCGTTCTTGAGGCTGTTCCTCCTCTCGTAGAGCCTGAACCCCTGCCTCTTCTGCCCGGCGGTCTTGGCCGGCGGTATGCCGCTGGAGGCCCTGGAGGGTGGCCTGGCGGCGGTGAGCATCTGCACCACGTGCTTGAAAGTGGCGGCGTCGGCCTGGACGAAAGTGGTGGGACAGTTATTGGTGGCGGCGTCGTTAGATCTGGGGTTGGAGGAGGAGGAGGTGAGGGGCGGCGGAGCCGGCGGTCCGTTGCAATTGGCGGTGCTGACTCTCTCCGCCGGCAGATTTAATGAAGCGGTTTCCATTTTTCTTTTCACTGTTATTAATATTGAATTTCACCTGATTGAGAGAGAGAGAGAGAGAGAGAGAGAGAGAGAGAGAGAAAGGAGAAAGGAAGAAGAAAGCGGCTTTTGTAGGGTTGGGTGGAGTGTGGAGAAGAAGAGTTGAATTAAGGTGAACAAACAGAAAAAGAGCAGGTTGGTTTTATTGTGTTGCTTTTTGTTCTGTTCTGTTGTGTTTTTTTTCTTTTCTTTTTCTTTTTTTTTTCGGTTTGTCCAAGTTGAAATTACTTTCGCTCGCTAGACTAGACTTAGGCGCAATAATCATTTCTTTATCCTCTCGTGTCATTGTTTTTATTTTTTAAAGTTTTGTTTTATAAACAAATCAATATCCTTTAATTTAATTGTCGTTTGAGTATAAATATATATTATATATTTATTTAAATTTTAGCAACGTAGAGCATGACTTTACATTTTATATTTTTCAAATTAAAGCACGGATAAATCAATAAAGAACGGCAACTTTCACATTTAAAAACCAAACTAGTACATATCCCGGTGCACGGGACAGAGATATTAAATGAGTTATTTTCACACTTTTGTCCGTTTAAGTCTAAAAAAAATAGGGTTATTATCTATTTTTTATCTCTTTTAATCAAACAATATGGTTATTATAAGTTTTTTTTTTCAACATCTTTTAACCAACGTTGTTTTTTTAGCAGAACATTAAATATGAGCATGTTAGGGCAATCTTGTAAAATAATTAATATATTATCTTATTAAAATATTTATAGTAATAAAAATTTAATTTTAGCATATAAATTTATCCTTTGATATAAGAGAAAGTAACAGTTTTACTTATTGTTATTCACTATATAACATTTAATTATTATTTTATTATATAATAAAAAAGAATACTGTTAAATAGTGTAGTAGAATTGTTATAAAATTATATGAATTATTTTTTTACAATAGGGATTTAGTATCTTTTTATGATTTGATAATATAACTATAATATATTCTTAATGATACAACCTGAAATCGGATTACAAAATTTCAATACATAAATAATAAAATTTTTGATAAAAAGATAACAAAGAAATTTCAATTTCAATCTACAAAAAGTTTAAAACGATTTTATGAGATTTTGTTGACTAAACGGATTGTATGGGATAAAACAAATAGAAGATAAGAAAGAAATTTCAAATATACAAAAAATTGAAGCCGATTTTGGGAGATTTTTTTCCAGGAAAATCGATTGTATGGGAATAGTAATAGCATTAATTGAATCGCATAACATTAATTTCAATATAAAATAATTAAATAAAATGCATGCTAGAAATAATAATAGCATTAATTGCAGTTGACTTTTCGGATAATATTTGTAGTAAATAGGATCCTTTTTTATATAAGTATAGATGAAAAAATAAATAAAGTAAAAAAATTTCACCACATACAACTTATTGCATAAATTACATAAGAGTAAAGTTGGATTGAATTCAAACATAGTTTTTTGCAGGGGCGGACCGCATGGTCTGGGGCTTCTCCAGGATGGCCGCTTTTCCATCAGGACCGTGTACAAGGCGTTAACCAACTCCGGCTGCGATCTCGACTAGCCTCTCTAGAAAATTGTTTGGCGCACGGCGGCACCGCAACGAGCTTGACATTTTTTGTGGTTGGCTGCTAAAGGCCGACTGCTTACGAACACAGAACGTGTTAGGAGGCATTTATCCATCTCGGAAAATAGCGACTTTTGTGGCGAATGTGAGACGGTGTTGCACGTACTCCGAGATTGCCGATCACTAGGAGCCTATGGGATAGGCTGCACCCGACTGCGCATGTCCGTGGATTTTTCCAGCTGCCCCTACGAAGTTGGTTAATTACACCAGAACTTAGTGAGGCATCGAGTTGGCCCGGTGGATAACTGGGGGACTCTCTTCGTTATTGATGTATGGAGAATATGGAGGTGGTGGAATGATCAGGTTTTTAGCCAACGAGTCCTTAGCTGCGGCGTGCGATACGCTCGGAGGTTGTTCGTTTGGCCGAGCAGCGGCAGCTTACGCGTAGGTTGGCGCACCTCACCATGTTACTCGCATGATACGTTGGTCTCCGCCAGAGTCGGGGTGGGTTAAGCTTCATACCGATGGTGCTGTTGATATCTCCACGGGCCTCAGTAATGCCGGTGGGCTGCTTCGCGACGAGGTGGGAGTATGGATCGAAGGGTTCCTCATGAATATTGGGTATTGCACTATTACGGGGCCGAGCCTTCTTCCCTGACTTGGGATCGAGGCTTTCGAGGTATTATAGTCGAGGTAGATAGCAAATGTGTTACCCACCTGCTTCTCGGGCCCGAGGACAATCTCGGGGTTCATGCAACGGTTGTCGCAGCCATCTGTAGTATGGTCCAGCGGGATTGGAGAGTTAAGATCCAACATGTGCATAGGGAAGCGAATTTTGCAGCAGATCGTATGGCGAGTCTGGCGTCATCTTACCCGCTTGGAGTGCAGTGCGTTTCTTCACCTCCCGTCGGCATGGGACCCTGGCTTGATCACGACGTTATGATGGGTGTGTCTTACCCCCGCCGAGTTCCAGGCTAGCATTTACTTTTAGGCCTTCGGCCTCCTTTATTGTACAAAAAAAAAAAAAAACAAAAAAAAAAAAAAAAGAAACTCAAATTGAAAATATTGTTCCGTAGCATGGCAAAACTATTAACAAAAATTCTAGATCAAAATTTGATCAAGGTCAATTATATTTATATATGGTCACCTCATCAATGGAGGCATGAACCTCGAACTATATCTCGAAAGCGCCAAACTGTTAACAAAAAATCCAGATCAAAATTTGATCATGTCAATTATGTTTATTGGTCACCTCATCAATCGAGACATGAACCTCGAATTATATCTCGAAAGCTAGGTAAATCTGTCATTCAAAATCCTAAAATCCACTTATTTGTATATTAGGTGTGCGTTTTTCTTTGTTTTTCATTTTGTTAGTCCAACTTTATCTAACTTTAGTCTTCTTTATGGAGTTTCTTTTTGTTTTGCGGTTGTCTTCTTGATGGAGTTGTACCCCTTGGATTTCTCTCGAATTCTAAGGAGGTAAGTCCCGGTTATCTAGTTCCTAAGTCTCATTTGACACCTAATTTTACTCTTTTTGAGTTTTCGAGTTATAAAAGTGTTTGTCGTTTCGAAAAAAAAAAAAAAAACTATATATCGGTCGCTTTAAACTATAGATCATAAACATTCTAGAGGGTGTCCATTGCTATTTCGCCACATATTTGTTCATGCCGTTCAAATGTAGTCGTCAAATTTATGTTTAAAGTCATATTAAAAAAATATTATCAGACCCATCATTTAGTGGTCACCGAAATCTAAAATCGTGCCTCAAATAGCAAAAATATAGAAAATCTTGCCTCAAATTCCCAAGAATAACAAAAATATAAATTATAATTGAAGTGAACGTTGTTATTTATTTTGTAATTTTGACTTTTTTGAATTATTTTTCAAAAATTCAAATTAATGCCTTTAAAGATTTGAAAATCGTGCAGAGAATGTATAGGAGTTGCTATTTCTTGAAGCATTAAAACATCTCCATTTAGTCTTCCTTGATCACATCAGGAAAACTGTTAAAAAAATACTTTACTTTCTTAAAGTGAAAGTTTTATACTTTTCAAAACTAATTCAAAGTTCAAATATGAAGCATTGCCTTTTGGAGGTCAAACTTTGACACGTACCTTCATTTACCTACTCTAAACCTACGAAAAATTAAAGTAAAGTTTCATCCAACGCATGAAAAATTATTTTAGCGTATACAAAAGAAGACTAATTTACTTTTTTTTTTTTATTATTAAATATAAGTATATTTTAGGTGAGAGTTTTGTTTGGGAGACAGAATAAGTGAATCCTAGTCCGGCCGGCCACGGCTGACCTATTGTTATCCCGCATAATTAGTTCTTTATTGCACTCACAACTCACCTCCATTACACCAAATTCAATTCCCATTATTAATTAAACTATCACTAGTATCACTTCATTTAAAATTACTAGTCGGCCAGCTTTTAAGTGTTCTTTCTTTATTTTTAATAATATATATATATATACACACATACTGATTTTACATTTTATTTATGATGGATCCCATCTCTTTTATTTATAAAGTAAAAATTGAACTGAAAATATTACTACATTAGATCTAACTATTATAAACCCATATACTTTTCTTTCAAATGTACACATTTTACCTGAAAAAAATAACATTTATGGAACACATAAATGTTAAACATTTATGTACACATTTTCCCAAGGCTTTAAATGTCAAATTTGGTGGTTAGTAAGTAGTAACCCTATTCGTCTATTTATATTGTTTTGTATTTATGTGTCAATTTCTGGTTCAACTAGCAGCAGATAATGCATGTCATAGGCTGCCTAGCTACCATGTTTGGTGAGATAAAAAAAATAATTATATTTTCAGAATTTCCAAGATCCTCATTGTTAATGTTGTAGTTAATAACTGTAATCCCACAAATTTCATGTTTGGTGGGAAAAAAGAAATATATTTGCAGGATTTCCAAGATTCTCATTGTTAATGTTGTAATTATAATAACTGTAATTCTATCAATTTTATTTATTTATTCAGCAACCATTATTCTTCTTTTAAATAACAAATGAATATATAAACGCGTGTGGGTTGGCTAAAACACGCGTAGCTATAGAAAATACTTTCAAATATAGTAGTGAACAAAAGTAAACTGTATTAATTTAATTTTGTTGATTCGCTGCACGCACCAACACCAAATATCAAGAGATTTAAGATCTTCTTCTTGTGCTAACAGTAATAATCAAATTTAGTGAAAAAAGTTCAAAGTACTAAAGGAACAACGAGAAGGTTTGACGCACATGCAATAAAATAATTAGAAATTATTCTATTGGTGCTATATTTTATGTAGCACATGACTCAAAAGAAACACGGGACTCGAGAGATTTCATTTCANCTAGGTGCTTTTTGCTGCATGCAGGCTTGCAGCTATATCAAAACAAACAATTAATCATTAATAATAGACAATCGATATATATGAACGATTTCTTTCTTTTGAAAAAAAGAAATATTTATAGTTTTGTTATATTTCTTTTATCATACTTGAAGGTTGAACCTTTACACAACTATGTCTATGTATTTTGAGGCCTTTATTTGTGGTTTTATTATTTTGTGTTTGAGTTTTGTGTTAGCCTAATGTATATTATACATTTTTGAGAATTTAATCAGTAATTTATTCATGAGGAAGATGATTAATGACAAACCCTGATAGTCCAATGGTCATGTATTAGTCTACATAATCTATGTCTTTACTTGAAATTAACCTTTATTAAAAACATAAGATTTTTTATAATTATAATGATTATTGCAAGATTACTTCAATTGAATTATACATAATTGTTTAACAGTATATAAATAATAACTATAATAATTTGGCTTATGAAGATTGAAGATTCGTATCTTATTTTTCATTCTTTTCTTTTCATATATGAAAAGATGGATGTTTAACCCGTAGCAGGTGCTCGACAAAGATCTTCATGAATTATTCGAATTGAATATAGTTTTATGAATTTCCCCAAAAATGAAGAAAAAATGAAGATATTTTATCTCTCAATTAAAAGCAATAAGATTGACTAAATATGAAGAAAAATGAAGACTGCTTTCTCTCTCAAGTAAAAATAAAAAGATGAATCACATCGTCCATGAAAAAACAATAATTATGAAGATATCCTTTCACCATACACAAAATTCAACAATTTATTCTTCATGTAAGAAAAGATTTCACTCTAATGAAATTCTTCCCATAACCATAAAGATGTCATTTCAACATTCTCTTCACCTAGACATATCTAAGTGCTAGAAGAAAAGATCGATCGCCTAAATATAAAGATTGGGACACGATTCACAAACTAATGAAAGCTAGAATATCACACATCATAAATAACGTACAAGCTCGACTGCAAACTTTCCTTTTCTTGTAGAGCTTATTTCTCCAATCTGCAAAAATAAGGTGTCTATCTGGTTAGAAGGGCAAGCCACTTTGTAGATTAGTATATATCAGTCTGATGAATATTTATATTTTTGTTATTTGAAAATATTAAAAATGATTTCTTCTTTTTAGAAAAGCAAGGCATAAGGAGAAGGATTGAGATTTATATTGTAAGGAATAACCGGTAAATTGTTCTATTGAAAACGAAAACCATGATATCAGTCGAGATGTTTTGAGGCAAAAAGTAGTGAAATCTGGACTTTAACCAATTTTCCAGACAAATTATCATAAGCTATGGTAGCATAGCAAGGACAAATACTTATAACTTCAACTTGAAACTTGGAAATGCACGGGAAAGAAAAGCATATATACCATAGCAAAAGAAATGACACACCTTAAGTCTTCCCTTCCCGCTAACAGAGATGATGTCACCTGTCCTCAGAGTAGTGTTGTTTTTCATCACAGTAGCCCAGTTGACACGCACATCTCCTTTGCTAGATGCAAATTTGAAAAAAAAAAAGGAAGAAAAAAAAAGTAAGAGAAAAAGAAGAAATAAAGAGAGAAAAGGAAGTCAGGTCAATTTGCTTGTGCCACTGACTGGAAAACAGCACATTTATATGAAAATGTTGATTGCTAGGAAATAAAATGAAAACACAAAAGTAGTTAAAAGATCATTGAATGTTTTAGTTGCAAATAGAAAGTAACCCATGAATACTCCAAGGTTGCATTTGAGTGGGAAGGATTTGAAAGCTCTACAGATAAAATGAATTTGAAATCCAGCAGAACTCGGGAAGCAACTCGAAATAGGAGTTATGGATTTGGAATCCCACTACTATAGATATGATCTTTATTCAAACAACCTCAATTGACTTGCTATTATGGAAAAGGCATTATTTGGTTCAAATACAATTTAATTTGAATGGGACCCAATTGAAAATAGTGAATTGTTCAGTCTAATTGGTGCCATAAGTGCAGCATACCAAACGTATCATCAAACAAGGGAAGTGAATATGTCATACAGTTCAAATGTCAAGATAATGTTATAGGCCATAACGATAAAAAGACAATAAGATGGATTCATTAATTAAATGACATCAAAATCTTGAAAGGTAGATGGAACCATTTCATTCAACTGCAAAAATAAAAAATGGGTGTATTCTTGGCAAGCTACTTTAGAACTTCAACTAACAAATTGAAGTAAAACGAGAACATCCTCATATCGATTCTTCTTCCTTGATGTCAGTACACAAGAGATCATTGATAAGAATTGGCAGTTTATGCAAGGTTCCAATTTAAAGAACTTTCTTTCGCCAGCCCAAAATTCTTGGTGCAAATAGTCTTCTTTTCATTTTTGCTAATAATTTTAACATTAAGGAAAAAATAATACTTCTAGGGAAAGTGGTAGATGGAGCATGACATGGCATACCTTATCAAATCAGCCATTTTCGATCGTGAAATTTTGAAACCAGCACTAGCTATAGAATCAAGTCTTATTGATGCTTCAACAGTTTTCATGGTCTTGGTCCTGCAAGGATCGATGAACATAGAACCTCTGTTTATAATAACAGGTCTAATAGGTTATTTAATATCTTAAAAGAAAAATAAAGTAATGACCTCGGGGGCTGGTATTCAAGAGCAAGCAATGGAATCTTTTCACAGGTAACAGAAACACTCCTTACCTAATATTACAACATAGCAGATAAAAAATCATTGTTTTAATTTATATGCAACAAAATAAAAAAAGTGCATGACTGGGTCCCTCAAACACTCTTACTCAAGTTTATAAGCTCATTTTATTTCATGTAAACTCCTTTCTAATCAAGTTTCCAAACCATAAAGCAATTTTCTGCTATAGCCATGTCATGAACATCCTTTGAATATGTGGCTCGGTTCTGACTCGGGAAATTCAACAACAAAATAATATATTTGCCAGATGAAGACTGAAGAAAAAGTTTTTTTCATTTTAGAAACAAAATTGTACTAAAGACGCAGAGAGCAAATCCATAACAAGTCTCCATTTGGCTGCTCAGACACAAATAGTTCTATGCGTAGTACCATGCAGAATAACATGTCTACCTTGTCCAATGACGAGACAAGGAAGTCAACAAGTTCTGGAACAATAAGAATATGAGCCCCCTTTTCTCCCTACAACAGAAGTAATAACAGTTTACACAACACAAAAACTGAAGACAAAAATATACGATAGCTCTACTCAATATCCATTGTTTAGTAAAAGATAAAACATCTTATATGAACAAATGAGAAGTGCCAATTTCGAAAAAACAATATTCTTGTTTGAAGTTTCCGTAGGTGCACTAACATACCTAAAAATAAGAATATGCCAAATAATTGAAATGAAAGCTAAAAGTATATCAAGAATGGAGGATCTACTGAAAAATCATACCTGCAATATAATGTCTCCCAGCTTATCCCTCACAATCCCAGTGCCTAGGATTGCCCCAAGGAAGTCACCATGAGAACATGATTCAAAACTAAAGTTCCCTGAGATACTGCCACATCGAACCACCTCAACATGAGAAATAACAACAGTAGGTTGGTTCACAGGCTTTTATATTTCACTACACAAAAAGTTTTTTTAGGTATGTGGAACTAATATTGACCTTAGTGCTGCAATAATATCCGGATCAGATGTCAATATGTCTGGATGTCCAACTGACAGCCGGCAACGCTCGGCCTTCAAATTTTTGGATGGAAAATCTTTTTAATGGCAAGATAAGTTAAAATGTTACAGAATCAGGAAAAAGAGACATTATAGAATCTTGACCTCTGGATATCCTCCCTGAACTACCATTTTGATCTGCGTAAACTTCTCTAATGCTTGCATCGATTCTTTCAATACAAGTGGTGTGAGAAAGTCGGTATGTAAAACTTCCTGCCTTAATGACGCCCGATTTGCCTAAGAAACACATTAAGCCATTATTAACTTACAACCCAAAATTAGAACGTACAGAAGTAAATAAATATAAGTGAAAGGAAATACAAAAAGAAAGGGGAAATTGTGTGTAGATCACGTACGGAAATAGTACTATAATCAATAACTAGAAAAAGATATATACCATATCAAGAATTCTCTTGACATCCTCAATTGTATCCTTGTTCCCAACGCCTTTGACCAAAACAGGGGCTCCACCTTTTACAGCGGTCACTGGGGTGCAAATGCCCAAAGCTGAGCATCAACAACTGTGAAAGTCACCAACCATAACCGTAACAATATTTTGCACCAAACTAGACTAGTTTTACAAAACCTGCCCGAGGAAAACTAAAGTGGGCATTGAGCATCATCGCTTTTGGTTCACGTCAAATAGCAGAACCAAGGCAGCAAATTTATTCAATGATTCACAAAAAGATAACCACAAGCAGCAGTTGATCGGCTGAATATGCATTACAGTTTCTTTATTGTGGTTTAATCCTTGCACAAATGTACAAATATAACAACCAGTGACAAATTGACGTCAATCACTTGCATTTTTTCCATCCATTACACCTGCCTCGAATTATTGAACCAAAATCACACAACCGAAGATTCAAGAATCTTCCAACATACGGACGGTTCCATACATGGAACAAAAAACGAAGTGTTAATTTTTTCTCAGGAAGTGAAATTTATGCGAATCGCAAGGGAAAAGGGATGGTGAAACGTACATACAATTATACAAATGAACAGACATTGAATGTAAACAACGGACCTGAAGAGGTGAAAGGGGCGGAAAGGGGGAGGATTCTGAGGCCACTGAGCTTGGTTCTGAGGCTTGTAGAACGATAGGCGGGTTGAAGAAATGAGTGAACTCCCGTACGAACGAAAGCTTGTGAAGCTAAGCCAGTGGCAGCCATGGCCGATTATCATTGTGCCACGGGCTTCTCGTCTTTAATACTTTTCCGGCGCAAGCGGGCCTGGGTCATTTGCGGGTCTATATTAAATTTAATTCGGTCGTGTACGACTGTACGCATAGCTAATTGGGGCTCATTATATAAAAATATTTTGTTTTCAAATTTATTAAATAAAGTGGATTAATTTATAATAATGTTTTTGAATAAATTGAGTTAATTTGAGAATAAAGTTGACTCAGTGGAGAATTAAGGCGTTTTTATTTAAATAATATTTAAGAGAGAAACGATTGAAAGTGATTAGTTAAACCATGTGAATGGAGGAACATTGAATTTAAAGTTATGAAAATAATTGATTGATATTATTTAATTATATTGATATTATTGAAGATAACTAATTTGGATAAATTTGATTAAAAAGTTATAAAATTATCTGATTGGTCAAAACATGGAATTTTTGTAGCCTAGGGGAAAAACTAAAAGAAGGAATTATAATTTTTGAAGTTGTTCAATCTCACAAGGCATTAACTTTTGCCAAAAAAAGTATGTTTTGAATATATTGACTGACACTGGTATCTTGATTCTAAACCTGCAAACTCACCAATGGACTCTATTCTAAAGCTCACCTATGTTTATACTAACAACTCCGAGTTAGTAGATGTAACTGCTTACAAACAACTTATATGTAAGCTACTTTATCAATTACTAGACTCGATCTTTCTTATTTTATACAAGCACTTAGTCAACACATGGCCGCACCTACATAACATCTTACAGCAACACATAGGGTGCTCAGGTATCTAAAAAACATAGTTGGCCAAGGTATTTTCTATCTCAGAGATTCTTCATTATCATTGCATGCATTTTCAGATAGTGACATTACTATCTGAAAAACATTACTAGTTATGCATTTTTTCTTGGTTTTTCATTAGTTTCATGAAAATCTAAGAAGCAACAACTGTCAGTAGATCTTATGCCGAATCTGAGTATAGAACACTTGCATCCACCACATGTGAGGCACAATGGATGTTATATTTACTTGATCTGCAAATTCTCATTCATTCACTGTTACATTTTTCAGATAGTAGATTTACAGTAGCCTTAGCAAATAATCCAGTCCACCATGAGAGAACAAAGCATATTGAGATTGACTGTCACCTGTTCGAGAGGAACTCTCCAAAGGCATCATTAGTTTGCAGTTTGTACCATCTCAAGAACATGTTGCAGACATCCTCACAAAACTACTAGGAGTTCAAGCGTTCAAACAAAATATCTCCAAAGATCCTCTTGCTGGGGTGTTGGAATAATATATTTGCTTTTATTATTCTAGGCTTTTGCCTTGTGAAACGCTTTCAGTATAAGTAGTAGCATTTTAACATTACCATTGTACTTGATATAAATAGCAACAATACAAATCTGCTCTACAGATTCTATCATAATTCTCTCTTTTTTCTCTTGCTTAATGATTCTCTCCTACAGTCAAGGAACAAACAAGAACACCTACAGTACACGAATAAAGAGCAGCAATAGTAGGAACATAACAAAAAAAATAACCAATAGTAACACCATAAACTAACATAATTGCTTAGATATCAAGAATGAGATAAGATTACAATAGTGTACCTTTCATCACTGGTAAAAGACTAAATTGTTTTTGTATAAGCTATTGTACACAGGGAGCAAGGCCTGAGAAGAGACTGAAGACTTTTAATAACCTTCTTCCCTCTTTCCCAGAAGATTCCTTATTCCTCCCGCTTTAAACCGAAACGAGTAGTCTAAAAGTCTAAATATATAAAGACGGATTATGATACATATGCGTGTGACATGTCTATATAGATATATATATCCTTACCCTGTTATTCCACATCTTCTAATATGTTCATTCGAAAAGTTTACATGTTTATTCCACAGACCTCTTAGAGCTGAGGACCCGATATCGAGCCATGGCTTTGCAGGCCCACTGAAATGCACAACAGCTGCAGCTTCTAGCATTTGTTTGTCTGTTTCTGGGTACCGATAGCCCAAACCAGCTAGGTGCCATGAAGGATCAATACGTTGAACGTGTTTTTCAAATGCAAGCAAGGCAGGTGGAAGTGCTCCAGGATGCCATAATTCAAAACCAGAGTTAAGGCTCTGCAGAAAGTAAGAGTTCATGTAAAT